ATATATATAGAAAAATCAGACCGCAGTTTTCTAGCAGCCACCGTAGGTAGCCATATTTGGTGGGAAATCGTAGCTCTGTAGCTTTTTGAGAACGCATTTGTCAAGAAGGAAAAACTGCGGTGCCGTACTGCACCACCACCACACTGCCGCCCAAACGCACCACCCTAAGCTTATCAAAATTACTTAATCTCTTATCTTAGCTTTTCTATATATTTTATTTTATTATTTCTTATTACCATGTCTACTATATATATCATTAGAACTCTAGTTTTGGTTTATTTTCTACTCTTTCTGCAAGCCCCTTAGCTTTCTTATAATCACTATAAATTTCAATATTATTCATTTCTTGCCTAGTTTTAAAAACAAGTCTATTTTCATTAATAATTTTTTGTACCTCCTCATTCCCCCAGTAATTCTCATTATCTGATCTATCACATGAAAGCTTCAACAACAACACTTATAATGAAAATAGAAATGAAATGTCAAGGTACTTCATTTTGTTTTATTTTATAGCAAAACTAGTCTGTAATCTGGTTTAAGCATTCTCTCACACTGGGTGAGATCATATGAATTAGGTATTCAACGATCAAATTGGACTTTTAAATGTAATTAGATCAGAGCTATGCGGGTCAGCTTAAGCTTCTAGACTGCAACATTTATTTAGGGTGCGTTTGGAGCAACTTGTGCTTATCCTGAAACGTGGCCTGCTGGTAGCCTGCGGGGTTCGACCCGCGGTCTGTGTTTAGTGTAAAAATCCAACTGCATTTTCAGACAAGCTGTCGAAACATGTTTTCCAAACAGTGAAACGACGTTTTGAAAATGCCGCCCGCAATTATAAGCTGCCCCAAACGGGCCCTTAATCAATATTATTGATTTGATTGTGTCAATAGGAGTTTCAGGTCTCAAATCAATACTTTGATATTAAAAATTTTAATTAACTCATCCACTATTAAAGTTAATGAGAGTTGAATATGTTTCTTATTAGTAAAATATAATAGAGTAGTATGGTATAATGATAAATTCATATGTTTAAGATGGCACATCAGTAAAAATGCTTTTGTACATTAAGTTCTTATAAAATTTTCAACGCGGTTGGAGTTCTCTTGACCTGGTTTTAAGTGGGTGTCAAACTATCAATTTGAAATTTCTTAGTGCTTTATAATATGCGGTTGAGAAGGTGGCTCGTGGGTCTTGAAGGCCAATGGAACTTCAAGGCCCAAGGTTTATGTAGCCAGACCAAAGGCATAGCCATTGGTATTCTGATGTTATATTCGTCTAATCCTATAAATTTGTCATAATAGCAAATTCATTAAATTTGAAATTTAGGCCAGAATTGAGGTAAATGAGAATTACAAATCTATAGGATTTATTTTGATCTTTTGATAGACTTTTTGGCTAATCATGTGCAAATCCTACTTAAATCCGCCTACCATACAATCCATAAATGTATTTAAACTTGATTTTTATGGATTTTGGAGGGGCCATTTTGGCCATCTACCTGAATCTTGTATACTCTATTGAACAGCCCGAACTAGTCTTTATTAATACTACAACAACAACAACTACTACCACAAGCCTTTATCCCACTAAGTGGGGTCGGCTACATGTATCATTTTTCTCCATTGTGTCCTACATGAGTTAGTCTTTATTAATCATTTAATTTTTTTAGGCATGTGCATGTCTAAATGACTTCAAATTTGAACGATTTTGTATTCATAAGATTCATCTTGTCATGACTAAAGATGTTTGTTTCGGTTGTAAGCACACAAAATTCCAGGGATATTTATTTGCCTCTTTCAAATAGCTCAATAAATTTGTAATTATGCTACAAATGTTTGATTTCGACTAATTTGGACTTAGATCCCAACATTTTTGGTATTATTGGATTTGTGTAGTTGCACTGGTCTGCATTGACTACAAATTTGTTAAAATGAACTTCGAATGATCTCAGTTATTTCCCAAAATTTGTCGCTTAATTATTTTTTAGGTTTGTGATATGAAATTTTTATCAATATTTATGATTGATTAGATTAACCTTTCTGTGATCTATCAACCAAGATTCTATTTTCTTCCCTTTACAGTATCTAAGCCTATCAAAATCACTTAATCTCGTATCTTGTTATTCAATATATTTTATTTTTTCCTTTAAGATCTAAATGTACTGTATATTTTATTTGTACTTGATTATATATATATATTTGTTATCTATTCTTTTTGCTAACAAAGATAAGATAAGATAACTTTCTTATTATCATTATAAATTTTTGCCAACATTTAGTAACGCATCTCATTGTCATTGTATGATCTATCGTAGACAAACTTCTACAGCAACCCTCTTAATGAAATTAACCATCTTATTTGTAGTTACATGACACTAACCTTAATTAAATCTTGAGTTACTTTATTTCTTTATAAAACAACACTCTAATTTGGTTTAAGCATCCTCCCACACTTGGTGAGATCACATGAATAAGATATTCAAAGATCACATTAGGCTCTCAAGTGTAATCAGATCAGGGCTATGCTGGTCAACTAAAGTTTATCGACTAGAACTTATATTCAATCCATGTTATTAATTGTTTTGCATCAATAGGGGTAGCGGTTCTCGAATTCATACTTTGGTCTTGGAAATATTAACTCAATTAATATTAATGTTAAAGAGAGTTGAATAAGTATCATATTTGTAAAATGTAATAGATTAGTATGGTTTGCTAATAAATTCATATGTTTAGGATGCCACATTGGTAAAAATACTTTTTTACAATAAGTTCTTACGAAAGTTTGAATGAGCTTGGGGCTCTCTTGACTCGTGTTTAAGAGGGTGTGAAATTGTAAAATTTGAAATTTCATGGTTAGCGCTTCTTAACTTGCAGATGAGATGGGTGGCCCAGTAGTTCTTTCATTATTTTGAATGTTGTTTATCATTGCAAATTCTATGTTATGATTTTCACCTTAGAACAATCCATTTCAGTCTCTATTGATCTATGGATTGGCTTGCAACATTTTACTTTGTTTCCTATGACATGTTATGGTTTTTAACTAAAATGTTCTGTTATTTTTTGAGTGGATGGGAAGGAATGGAATGAAGCTATGTGAAACCTACCCCCAATGGACCGTGTTTGACCACCCTAGATGTTGAGCTTGTGTTTGCTTTTATGACTTTCTTGAAAGGAATATTTACATACATAGCACTCAATTCCTATGTATTTACATATCTAACACCTAAACTTCAATTTTTACATACGTGCCAACTTACCTATGGATGAAAATGTGTACTTCACTTTTTAAAAGTTAAAATGTTGAAATTTTTTAAGCCGGGTGAAAGATTTGGGTGATATAATATAAAAAAGTAATTTCTAGGTGTTAGTTATGTAAATGTCCCACCTTGAAAATGTATTAATTTTTGAAGTTATGATAATCATGTCCCATTGCAATTATGAAAATAATGCTAAATCCTTTTTTCTTGTGTATGATTTTACATGCTCGTTTATGCATAAAAAATAAAAATAAATAAATAATAAAACCTCATTTATGCATGAAATTGTAAAATCTCTGAGTTCGCATAACCTGGCCGAGTGCCCTCCATCAGGTCGATTCATCTTATCTATTATGATCAACAATCGCACACAGTCGCAGTAGAGACACAATCACAAGTTATAAATGGTTTTTGATAATGTGCCCGTCAAAATTTTGTTATTTACGAAGTGTTTCATGCATTCCACTCAATTCTTATCTATTTACATATCTAACACCTTAACTTCAATTTTTACATATACACCGCCACCTTATCTATGCATGAAAAGGGGTATTTAAAAGTAAAAAAAATTATATTTTTAATGTGATACAAAGATTTAGGTGATATAAATATAAAAACTAAAGCTTATGGGTTAGATATGCAAAGACCTGAGAGCAGCATTTCATCTGGTTTTCATTGGATTATTTTATGAAATGTTTTCTAAGATTTAATTAATTTTAGTTATAATATTTTCATATGCATTCTATAAATGTCTCAAAGCGCCTTTTCTTCTCAGAAACACCATTCAGTGGAGGATTGTGAGCTTATAAATGTGCAAGAACAGACTGCTCAACTGGAGAAGGAACTCATCCTAAAAGAAAGTGAAACTCGTGAAGTTCTGAAGGAACTCGAAAGGACTAGAAGAGCGGCCGACAGCTTAAAAATAAAATTACAGGAAGAACCCTCAGTAGTCCGTAAATTTCCCGAAACCCACACAGTCATGCAGGCAACACGATCCCCGGTATCAATTTTAGCTGTGCTCAGCCAAGCAAAATTGAATCTGAGCAGGAAGACAAATGACCTGGCCAACATTCAAGCTTCGATAGACTCATTAAACCAAAAGTTAGCCGAGGAGAAAGAGTCAATCAAAAAAACTCGTGAAAAACTTTCGTTAAACAGAGCCGCTGTTTCTTCTTTAGAAGATGATTTGAACCGAATGACTTTGAAACTGCAGTTGTCCATAGATGCAGAAGAGAAATTTAATGGAGATCCTGCAAGCATTTCATTAGAGATTAAAAATCTGATTTCTGAGAGAGAAAACTTTAAGCAAGCCACGAAAACTGCAGCTTCAGAAGTATTGAGATTAACTTCTGAGATTGAACAGATGAATGTTAGTATAAAGGCTGTTGAAATTAGGTGCTCAGCTGCTAAGAAGATGGAAGAGGCAGCTAAAGCCACCGAAGCCGCTGCGTTCGCTCGGATCAAAGCTCTTATAAACAGCAACAGCTCAATTTCAGGTTTGCAAAATGAACCTCCACTCGTCCTTCCAATGAATGAATATTTCATCCTGACTCGCAAAATCAAAGATGCCGAGGAAAACTCGAGGAAGAAAATCGAATGCGCCATGCTTGAGGTTGAAAAAGCGAATCAGTCGAAGCTGGAGCTGATATCTAAACTGGAGGAAGCTGAAGCGGATGGAAAAACTAGCAGAAAGTTACTCGAAGAAGCCATGAACCGTGCAGAGGCTGCAAATCGAGAAAAACTAGCATTTGAAGAGGTGCTGCGGAGACGAAGGTCCGACCATGGCCAACGTAAACGCTGCATTCATAACTCTGCCAAGTTTAAGAACTCCTATCCGTCTCATCAAAGAAGAGACACTAAGTTGATTGATCTTAATGGGCTTAATGTGATTGGTGATTATTCTAGGAATAGAATAAAGCACACATTGTCTATAGGAGAAATACTGAGCAAGAAGTTAGTTGGTCCTGGAGATGATAATGATTATGACACAGTAATACAGATGAGATTGAATGAAAAAGCGACGGTTCCTCTTGGTCAAATACTGAGTAGAAAACCTGAAGTTTTATCTCCTGAGAATGGTTGTGGATCTGCTCGTAAGCGGCATCATCATACGAAGAGGAAGAGATTTGGGTTTGTGGTGTTCTCGCATCTGTTGAAGAATGAAAGATTGAAGAGCAAGAAGAACAGCAAGAACAAGAAGAGAAAACAGATTTCAGTTCATGGGTGATTATGGTGTGGATGTTTAGTAGGTAGCTCTTTTTCTGATATGTTAGTTTTGTTCTGGATATTGTTTTTCGTTGTTTATCCCCACTACTTGTTGCATATCAACAAGCTGTTCTTGTCTGTAAAAATGCGTGTTTTGATGGCTCTGCTGTTCTGTTTGGTGGAGAGTAGTTTTGTCTTCTGAACAATTTACTGTTAGATTGAAGATGGAAGTCAAGGCATCTGAATTACTCAAATCTCTTACGAGTTAAAACTCTTGAAGTGCAAGCTCACATTTTCATTTGGCGCTTTAGGATAATGAATTTTGACAAAATTAAGAAATTATCATTGAGTTTTATTAGAGATAGAAATGTGGATATTGATTATTGACAGTGGATCATGATAGAAATATAGTTGTGTGAGGGGTGTACACACAAGGATTCATGACACGAACATGGCCTGATAAATTGTTGATAAGTAGGGCTATGAACAAACCAATGCACTTGGTGTACAATTTGAATTTTGTTTGATTAATACGTGATTAAAGTTTTTCATATTGATAAATAAATAAATTTTGATATTTTTGAAGTATGAATGTCAAATGAACCAAAAATAAATATGGTCTAAATTATTTATTTATGATTATAAATAAATTTTATTGTTAAACAAGTAATTTGTTAATACTATAGTAAGCTCAATGATAATTAGAATAAAATATGATTAATTAAAATTTCTTTAACTATATATCTATTAGTGATGCATTATCAACAAATTTCATCTTTTAACATGAATTTTGAGGCGTTTTTTGTGTAAGAAATATTTCAATTTAAATTAAAAATTATCCAGAAGTCTATCAGTGAACCTAAAATCAACTTGCTGGCTTGATTGTACGATTCCAATGATATCCAAATTAATCTAATTTGAGTCAAATTAAGTCCAGATCAAGTTATTAAACTTATTTTTGAGGTTTTAGGTTGTTAATTGAAGTGTCAAATGAACTCCAAATTTGATGTGTTTATAGTCAAATCAAGTATCTCAATGAGAGGAACCCATCAAGTCCAAGTTCATCTAATTATGAGGTTATTAAGGTCATGGTATTATCAAAATACCACTTATGATGAAGAGGAATCAACATGGGTTGTTTGATAGGGTAGTTATTTACCAAAGTACAAAAATGCCTCTTTTTAGGACTTATAAATAGATCTACTCTCTTCACTTGGAAGGGGAGGGAGGAAGGAGGAGTCAAATTCCAAAGCTATTCTGGACTGAAGACCTGTCGATAGCTCCTGTTTTCCACATCAACTATTGCTCGCAGTCCGCTGTCGACCACCGCCAACCGCCCCCTGCTTGTCACCGTTTGTGGACTTTGTAGAGTAACTAAGACGCATCCTGAATACGGGGTAACGAAGTATCCCAACTACAGTGTAACATACTATCATCAATACTGGGTAACAAAAGTATCTTGAATTTTTTTGCAATAAAGTATCCAGAAAACGAGGCAACATAGGATCCCAAATACTTTGTAAATTATTATTCTAAAGACGGTGTAACAAACTATCACAAGTACGGGGTAATGTGCAACAAGGTATCCCGAATACGAGCTAAATAAGTATCTTGAATATAGTGCAATGAAGAATCCTAAATTTTGAGGAACAAAGTATCCTGAATACAGTGTAATGACACATGATAAATATGGTTTAACAAAGTATCCCAAACACAATGTATCAAAGATCCGACGATAACTCCATAGGACAACTACTTCCGACAAGCTTAATTATAATATGACAATTTTGCCCAAACTTCAAAAGTTTTTTATATGTTGTATAACAATAAGTATTATCTCTGGTAAAAAATAAAAAACCTGAGAGAAAAGTTGCAACCAATAATCTGTGTAACATCAACTATAACCTCTTTAGCCAACTGACGCTCTTGCAGCTACCAATGATAGCCTATTTAGCCAGTTACTTCTATAACTTTTAACTATGACCTATGTGGACAACTAGTGCTCTTGCAGTTACCAAATATGGCCCGTGTAGCTAATTATGCAACTTCCCACTATGGTCACTCAGGCCTACTGACGCTCTTACAGCTACCATCTACTACCCATGTGTCTAATTATTATTGCATTTTCCTACTATGATCTTTGTGGTCAACTGGTGCTATTATTGCTACCAATCACAACCTATGTGACCTACGAGTATGTGGTCAACTGCTACTACAAATTCCAACTATGACCTCTGCAACTAATTAATATTGTTGTAGTTTTCAACTACGACCTTCATAGCCAACTGGCACTATTGCAACAGTTGACTACAACTTTTATGGCTAACTATTGCATTTGAAGCACAATTACGATCTTTGTGGTCTGCTATCGCTATTATATATCATTAAAAATTATTTTTGTTGCACAATTATAGTTATTAAAGTTGAATGACTATTGTGCGCCTATAATCATCAGTTTTTTAATTCCATCTTCTCTAATTTTAAAGAAGCGTAGACACATATACTTACAAACATATATTGAATAATGTTTTTTCATGTAAATAATGTTGGTGGCTTTTTTTTACTTTTTGTATAGCGTTGAGACATTAAAATTATCACTCCACTGTCGTAAAACATCCGACAAAAATCATAATATAATATAACTTAATATTATTATGTATATTAATTTAATGTAGCTATTTTATTTTTTTTCTTTATTTAAATGAAATAATTTATTAGTACTTATTTAAATTATTTGACTGCAATAAAGTTTGCTTACAATTTTTTATTTAATTGGCCTAAATTAGTTAGATGTTAATTCAAAATTCATTTTGGCAGTAAATTCTTGTTTGGTTGTTTCCATTAGCTTAAAGAGTTTGTTTATTTATGTTAGAAAATTGTTTCTTTCTTGAGAACTAACATACATACCCTTTATTTTCTATGTATTTATATATGAAATATTTAAACTTTATTTTTAAATTTATGGTACTTTGTCCGGGCATAAGAAATTGGTAGTCTTTTGTATATGAGATGGATCGATGGTGGCTCAGTGATTATGCATTTCCTTTTTTGTTGAGATATCCCGTGCATGAACTCTTGCCAACAGGGGTGTAAAGAAGTCAAACACGAGCGAGCCCAGGCTCAGCTTGTGTTCGGCTCGTTTATATTTCGAGCTCAAAAAGTGTGTTCGTGTTTGACTTATTTGCTTAGCGAGCTGAACACGAGCTGTTCACGAACAAAAAGTCGTTTTGACAACCCTAATCACGTAGCTATAAGATGTTAAGGATTGGGGCAAGATTTAAAACAACATTTGAATCTGATATAATAATTTTTATTATTTTTTTAATTAATATTTTTAATTGATTATAAATCTTTGTAACCTTGTAGTCAATAATTTTTTTTAAAATACTATTCATAAAAATATATATATATATAATTGATTAGTAATATTTCGAGCCAAAATGAGACAAACATGTACAAATGAGTCAAACATGAACGAATAAATATTAGTTCGTGTTCGGCTAGTTAACTTAGCAAATGAGCTGAACACAAATTTCTTAACGAGCTGAACCTGAGTTGTTCGCGAACAACGAGCCGTTTTGACAGCCCTGCTCGCCAACTTCTTAAAAATAATAATTTCAGATTTAAAGCCAAAATTAATATATATACTTTAATTTCAAAAGTAAAACAATCTGTCGATATGTCCGAGTGGTTAAGGAGACAGACTTGAAATCTGTTGGGCTTCGCCCGCGCAGGTTCGAACCCTGCTGTCGACGATTGTTTGCTTTTTGGTACATTTTTTTTTGGCTAATGATCAGCGTAAAGTAGTCCAGCGGAACATTGGAACGCGACATTTTGATTTTCTGTGAATAGCATTTCCATCGCCGTACTACGCCGCAAAACTCCGGCTCGTCTTTTCTTCTCCGTTATAACTTATTATCGAAAGGAGTTGGTCGAGCAGGGCAGCTTTGGGAGTAGACCAAAACCTAATTGTTGAATCGTTCTCTGGTAATAATTTGCATTTCTTTACTGTGATTTTAGATTCGTTAGACGGCGAATAGAGGCTTCGTTCTTATTGATTCTCAATTCTCCGTGGATTTCTATTTGCTGCAGCTTTTACATAATTTTCATTTTATCTCCGCGTATTAGATTTTTTGTTCGTGCGTAATTATTCAGGTTATGCGTGCTGCTGCTTCTTTTCTTTTTTTTTTTTTTTTTTTTTTTTTTTTTTGGTTTTTTTGGTTTCACTTCTTCCCTGTATTCAATTTCCTGATCCTGTTTCAACAGATTCTGATTTACTATGGGACTGGTATTGAATGGGAAGTTGTGAGTATGCTGATTGATAAACTTTCAGAAAATTTAAAGAAATACATGCGTTAGAGCTCCATGGCTTGATTTGTGCTCTGGCAAAATCATTTACTTTATATATATATATATATATATAAATTCATCTTTTTTTCTCCACGATTGAGTTGTGGTACATCCTAATGTTAGATAGAGTTGATACCACTAAGCCTTTTGATAGAAGATGTTGTCTTAATCTTATGATAAATATGATCTTCCGAAGATTATGTTCTTTTGGCTTCTCGAATCAATGAAAATTTTGACAACCTTCTACTGTACGTAGATTTGTGAGGTGAACAACTGCTCACACTCATTAGATTTAGGTATCAAACTCAACTCTTTCCTTTTTATTAATGTCATCAAGGAAAGGCACAGTTACAGTTAATTCACCGGTTCTAACCTTTGTTCCTGGTCCGCTATAGTGGCCTCCTTCTAGTTTGCATTCTCCTTTGATTTCTGTGGAAAACTTGGTTGAACATTTTAGTGTTGTATTCTACTGTGCCGCAGGATTTAGTGATGATCACTATAAATTTGATTCCAAGAAGAAGAGGTTGTTGCAATATTCTCCTTGTCAAGACACTTTTGATTCTACTCTTATTTCTCGTGGCCTTTGGTTTTTCTCTCTTCTAGAATTTGTTAGAGATATTCCAAAACATCTCTGCCATGTAATTTGTTAACATAGAGATATCTTTCAATAAAGTACCGATTCCTGAACTCTGTTATGTAATTTTGCACTGTCTCATCTTATTGTTGTTGCAACTCATGACATTTTCAATGTCTTTTTTCTCTGCACCTCATAAAGTAGAATTCTTATCCTAGCAACCTTTTGAATTGTTGCCATGTTTTGTTCTGAAGATCATGATTGATATAAAGTGTTCCATTACATTATTACATATTTGGTGAGTTTTGGCCGAGCAAATAAAAGTTTCTCTCGAGAAGAATATTTGTAGAGACTAAAATAAGTTTCAAGTTGATCTAGCCATGGATCAAGCTTCTTGACATGAATAGAACCATAAAATACAAGAATATTGATGCATCAAGCTTCTTTGAAAAGTTGCTTGAGGCATTGTCTTTTTTCGAGTCTTCTTCTTGCTTGGTAGAGCTATTATTGGTTCTCATTATCGAATGACAAAGACATCTTTATTTGAGTCGATCCTTTTGGTTCTTGATTCATCACTAGTACTATTCATTCACCATCTTCATCATCGTGATTGTCTACTATTAAAAGAATGCGACTTGGTTAGCCACTTCGTTGGACTTATCTTCTTATGAAGGTTTCATATTAGCTTTCTGTTTTTTTTTTTCTTGAAAGATCTAGGAAGTAGACAAGTTCCTTGTCTTTTAGAAGCTATTTTTAGTCTGCACCTGGCATCAGGGTTATTTTGAACCTAACACTCACATATAAAAAAACCTGACTTGAAACACACCCACGGGACATCAGAAGAGATCAAACCAACATGTCGACTATGCGGGATCGAAAGGAGGGGCTTATTAGGATTCTTGTTTTTTGGAGTAAGAAATTTATGTTTAATCTAAATAACTAGACAAATATAGAGGAGGAACCCAATTTTTCTTTAGCTCTCATACTCTCTCTGAATCTTTGATTCCCATATTTTAGAATTGCATATAGTATCTCTCGAATAATGGATTCCCATTCCTCTCTAAAACATTCTTTTATGTTGACGGGGAATGTCGGTTACATTAATGAGCAAGATTTATTAATTACGAGAAATCATGATTACGAGTTTCAAAACAAAGGCATGGTTTTCAGCGCCGACTTTGTGGACTGCTAGAAACAGATTTGTACTGTAATTTAGTAGAAACAAACTTTTTGGCCACAGAGTTACTTGACTTCTGCACTAACATCTTTCTACTCCTAGGCCTTGTCAATTCTCTCATCAACTTTGATAGATTTCTCTTGATAACATTATGGTCTTCTTGGGATTTTTCTTGGCAACATCACAAGCCTCTTGAAATTCCACTATATTACTTTCAAGTTTTCTTTACTTGTCCTCCAAGCACCTTCCCAACAAGCTAACTGATCTCATAATTAGTGATTTTTTTGGGTCTTAGGTATTTTGGGGTCAAGGCGCTCATGAGTTTCTAGTGGTGATTCCTATCATTGTTTTAGGAACAGAAGGCTCCTCTAGTTCAACATTTTATGAGGAAGACGGCCATTTGTAGTGATTGGCATGTCTTTGTATAATATTAATTAAGTGAAGATAAATTAGAATTTAATACAAGATTCTGCAAAATATTACAAGAAACTTTGATGTTAATAGAATATCTCATTAGATCTATCAAAGTCAATGAATGATCTCTTCAAAATATTTACATTAAAACACCAAAACTTTCCAATATCTCACAAACATGGAGATTCAATCATGTGTTATAACATTTTAACTAAAAGAAATTTCAGGTCCATATGATTGACGCTTGACACATCTCATTTTAATTTATATTTTTGGCTATTATAAGATTCACACTTACGTCCCCTGGACTGTTTATAATCCTGGCTGAATCAATTTCCATACAGTTGCTCACGATATGAAATATACAAGGATAGTGCTGCCAATTAGAATAACATGTTTGTTGATGTCTTTCGTGCAGGCGTAATGGTCTCCAAAGTGGCTTTTGTTTTGCTCATTGTCGTGATCATTGGCTGCATTGGTTACAATGATGCCAAAAATATAGAGCACTTAAACATATTGGGTAAGTTTTGAAGCTTGATGGATTATTTCCAATTTCCCTTGGTTCATTTTTTTTATTTTCATACAATAAATTTGACCTGTGGATAATTGTTTTTTTTTATTATTATTTTTATTTTTTGCACTAAATGCAATGTTTCTATGGTTCATTCAAACACTAATATCAAGGAATTAAAAAATTGTTTATGATTTAACTTTTAAATCATAAAATGTTACCTGTTGACTTTCTACTTATTTTTGTGGATATTTTTATATACATCCTTTAGTCGTTGATGCTTATGATAAAAGAGGAACAAATGAAAAAATTCTATGTTATCAATGTTCTATCCTTGTGATCTTGCATTTTAATGATTTGAATGTATTTGAAAGAGCCACAAATAGTTACTGTTGATGCAGAGTTTCGAACTTAATGATTTATGCTCAAAAGTGGTTCTTCTTTCAGTCAATTTCAATTATGGATATTTGTTATATTTAATAAGCAGCACCATTACCATTTAGCATGCTTGGCTTAATCAAACTGTCTATAATGAGTAAACTGACAAACATTTTGAAACATTTAGATGCAAATGCTGTTATTACAAGGAATGAACATTTTTGTGAACTCTGTCAAGATTTTACCACACGAATCTTATCATTTTTCAAGGAGAATGGGACGACCATCGTTGAAACTCTTCATCAAGTTTGCTCCCACCTGTACTCCTTCGAAGAACAGGTAAGCTCTACTATGCGCCAACAGAGTACTGTTTTCCATTGTGTTTGTGGGTTTTTATAAGACTGATTTCTTATATTTTTGCGGTTTTGAATAAAATAATTTGGCAGTGTAATTTGTTGGTGGATCACTACACATCAATTTTCTTCGCGGAAATTGCTAAATTGCAGCCTGAAAAGTTTTGCAAAAAGGTTAATCTTTGTGAGAACAAGGCGTTGGCTTATATTGTACAGAACAGCGATACCTGCACGGTCTGTCATAATTTTGTTAATGAAGTTGTCACTAAACTTGATGATCCAGAGACGCAGGTAATATGCCATTGGTGGAAGTGGTCTGATAACATAACCAAGATTTTGCTTTGAAAACTTATCATTTTTAGATATTATATCTTCTTAATTGCTGTATTATAACCATTAATCCTTTTATGTTCTTTGGTAAATATATATAGTTGGGCGACCTTCAAATATGAAAATTGCTTGATAGTCTTGATATGAAACTTCTCCATATGTATAGCTCCTCTAAGAGTAATGCCGTATTGTAGTTAAGAGAAGTGACATACAATCCCACACAATTCTTATGTATTTACATTTATAACAGTTTGGTGTCAGAACCTATTCATGAAAAAAAAGATATATTTTACTTTTAAAAAGTTACTAAAAGTGGTATTTTTTATGTGAATTTAAAGATTTGTGCTCTATGCATGTAAATATGAAAGTTTACATGTTAGATGTGTAAATACATAAGAATTGTGTGGTATGTATAAATGCCCCTTCTAGTTATTATAACATGAGCAAATTTATGTGCACTTGCTTTGTGGCGCTTTAAAAAAAATAGTAAGGGAACAGAAACGTTCTTTTTAGAAATTTTATACATTCTTTTTATTTTTCGCTGTTTCTTATTTCTGGGCTACTTCGTGTCTATGCAGCTTAAGATAATGCAGATACTTCTCAAAGAATGCAACCAGACTGGAGATTTTTCTCATCAGGTAATCTTTTACAAGCTAGTTGCCATTTTAAAATATAGAACCAAAACATTCTTACCTAAGATATGAACAATTTATATTGTCAATCTAAAATAATGTGAGGTTCAATCCGTTACGTAAAGCAGAAATAATTGGTGTCTATTTCGTAATCAAAGGCTATATTTAGCATAGCTTTTTGCTTCCTGCTTTTGCAATTGTAAACAATATAGGCAATTTTATAGTGTCTGTAAAAACAAACATTAGTACAATTATTTAGCTAGCTTCATAAAAAAAACTCTTATGAATTTAATTTTTTTTTATATAATTATTAAGTTAATAAATTTAAATACTTAAATGTTAATTAAGATTAGGATACTCTATTCTAATTATACGAAGTTCATAGTAATATTCATTTTGCGTATTCAATAATTATATTAGTGTCACTGGTCTTGTTTTCTTCAAAAATTCGATCCTTGTAGCACTTAAGCCAACTTTTTTTATATCATTTTACCAAACAGTTTTTGATTTATCTAAAAACATTGTAGAAATATATACAACATGATACAACATAATCCAAGAATGCTAATCATAGTCTAATTCCTTTTAAACCTAGTCATCTCATACACGCTCACTTAACTGTCCAACTGATATTTTCCTTATACTGAACCATTCTGTCATACTTCTTGATACGGATCCAACAAATTTTCATCATTCGACACGAATCTCGATGCAATTTTTTAAACAATAAACATTCAAACTTCAATTAAAAGTCATCCAGAGCTCCGATTTCAACAAAGTTATAGTCAAACTGAGATCAAATTGACCGGCTCGATGAGACGAACCTAATGATATCAAAATTTGTCAAATCACGCTCAGATCAAGTCAATAAACCACTCTTAGAGGATTTTCGAACACATTTGGAAGGTAGAACTATTGCCGACCCTATCAAGCCTATACTCGAATCAAGCGTCTCGATAAGATAAATCTAACGAGTCCAAGGTTGCTCAATTCTGATATCGTTAAGACACTCAAATGTCCATAAACGACATATGATTGAGGGAAGCTCTCTAGATCGTCCGATCAAAATAGTTGAGATTCCTGCATTAATGACATCCAGAACACTATAAATAGATCTCTACCCCTCTCATGGGATGAGAGCTGAAGCCTTGGGAAAGAACTTGATGCTTTGAAAAGGAGCTGAAGTTGAACACCACCGGCGACCTTCGTCGCATACCGCCGACCATTGTCGCACACCGCCGATCGTCGTAGGCCATAATCGACCTCTGACGATTACCGCCGACCGTCATCAGCCACCACCCACAGCCTTCAACCACCGCTGACCAGACACCGTCAGTCAACGTCGTAACTTGGAAAATCTAATAACGCCTCCCTTCTGTGGGACAAGAGCTCACCACTATGATCAATGTGCCAACAACAACCTATGGTCATCAGCTCGTACAGTTTCTGACTCTGGGCTCAGCGGCCTACGGAAGTCATTAATACTCCCCCAAACGACCTACGTGGTCATCAGCTCATACATTTCATGACTTCGGCCCCAACGACCTACAGACGTCATCAATAATCGCCCCAACGACCTAAGTTGTCATCAGCTCATGCAACTCTTGACTTCGGCCCCAGCGGCTTACAAACGTCATCAATACTCGCCCTAACAACCTACATGGTCATCACCTTGTGTAGCTCCCGACTTTGGCCCATATGGTCTACAAACATCATTAATATTCCCCCTTACGGCCTACGTGGTCTACAGCTAGTGCAGCTTCCGACTCTGGTCCCCACGGTGTATGGACATCACTACTCACCACCACGGTCTACGTAAACAATTATGACTTACGTTGTCCACAGCTCCCACAACTGTTTACTATGGTTTTGTTGGTCAATCAACGCTTCTCAAACAACAATCTACAACACTCATAACTGACTACTACCTCCACAACAATAAACAATGACCCTTGCAACCTGTTGTCGCTAAGAACTGCAGTCAGATTATAATTATGCAACTTTGTAATTATATCTTTCCTAATTTAGGGGAAGAATAAACACGTGTACTCATTATTTATAGTGGATTATTTCAACTGAGCTAGGCCTCATGATTTTTCCCCATTTCAAGGGTTTTCCATGTAAAACATCGAGGTGCCTCCTACTGCTTACTTCTCTTCTTTTATCTGTGTGTGTTGAATTCTCGTGCAACGCTAAAATGATAATCCATTACTCTACCGCCACGAATTTTTTACGAATTTTTTAGACGCATCACTTCTTTAGGTTCATTTGGTTGCTTATGGATATAAAACTTATTTTGAAATTTATTTTCGCTCATTTATCGGTGAAATGAATATCTTTACACTTGGGGGAGTTTTAAGAGGTTTTGTAAAGTTGTGGTTGGAAAATTTTATTAACTCTTATAGACAAGCGTTGAGAAGGTACGGATACGATGAATCATAAAATAATAATAAAGAGATCAGGCGCTGCAATTGAAGGTATTAAGGTTTATGTTATTCAGCAAATACTAACCTACTCTCACATGAGAGGTGAGAGGACCTGAACCATTATATTAGAAAGAGAAGTCGCAATGGCGTATAAATAAAAGGACACTAAGAAACTCAAAATCAAAGTACACTATGTCCAACAATGAAAGGAAGCTCTTAGTCTCTCGAAATTAAATGAGAAACAAAGTAGATCAAAACAATACGAAAAGTTGTGCACTGTAAAAGTACTTCAGAAGTGCATTTGTATGTCTCTTTATGAATTCAGCTTGAAAATCATGATACAAAAATAGTTTTGATTCATTGAGATGATACTTCCTTGCTCACAAAAATGAACCTTTTTGTTGTTTTTTACTTTTATGTTCGGAAAGCACTCCTCTTAACAAACCATAGAATTTTTCTTGCTCAAGTCTTCATGCCAGCTGTCCTCGGTATGCTCGCACTGATTTGAAATCAGTGGAACCATCTTTGTGAAGGATCAAACTTTAAATTAAATATTCAAAGTAGCAAATTATTCTAACCAAATATCAAATTCTTTTTGCTAGAATTAAATAATTTGTTGTTATTCTTACAGTTCTCCTATTTTAGATCATGGTTTTTCCTAACAAATTATTTAGTGCAAAAAAAGAAATAAGTAACGCAGTTCTCCCTTGACTCGATAATGTAGCAATATAAATTGTCTCCTTTGTGACTCTCTCTCTCTCTCTCTCTCTCTCTCTCTCTCCTAATCAAGCGCTCCATGCTCTCAAAGCCCCTAATGGTTAAGCATCATGCAAAACCTCAATATACATAAATATTGGAATGATTTGATCCAGCATTGGGATTGTGCAATGCAAAAAAATTCTACATTTTCCTCTCCAAATGTGTCCGCTCAGCATATACTTTCTTCTATTTTGGAGCCTTTATTGCATACACGAAATTAACTTTTCTCAAATCATAGTGCTCCAAATGAGCTGTACCATTCAAATATGCAAACTAAAATGCATAGAATCTATTAACTATTTTTTGCTTATATGACAACCAAAGCACCCTTGTAAATCGTAAGAGCTTCAACATCTCAAATGAATTTACTGTACATCATTGATAAAACTCAAATATATTATATTTGAAATATTCACATACATACCACTCAATTCTTATATATCCATATTACTACGTCCGGATGTGAAAAGTGGATGATTGTGTTAGGTAGTCGACAACTAGCGTAAAATTTGTCGAAAATCATGGCATGAATCATTTTAATCATTGTGTAAAATTTAGGGCGTCCCCTAAAAAAGACTCGTTGTATGACCTGAATACAGTATAAATGTGTAACTGTCGTTACATCGGCGCCTAGGTATAGTGTCAAATAAACAAGAGTTCTCACATTACGGACAAATGCGAGGAAAGAAGTTAGTCTATGAAACTAATATTACGATAGGATATTGAAATATAGGTATTCTTACGAGTAAATTAATGATATTAGTTGATATTATGATTCATAGAAAGGTGAATGCCTTATGTATTCAAGAAACTAAATGAGTTGGAGAAAAAGCTAAGGAGGTTGATAACTTAGGTCTTAAACTTTGGTATTTTGTTAAGAGTCGCACTAGAAATGATGTAGGTGTAATTATAGATAGGATTTTGAAAGATATTGTTGTAAAAATTAATAGAATTAGAGATAGAATTATGTACCTTAAGATTATTGTTGATACTAGTATTTTTAATATTATAAGTGTTTATACTCCTCAAATAGGTTTAAATATAGGTTCTAAAGAAAAATTCTAGAATGATCTAGAAGACTTATTACAAATGAGACCTCTTGAAGAAATTATTTTTGTTGGAAGAGATTTAAATGGACATGTCGGTAGAGTGATAGAAAATTTTAACAATATTCATTGTGGCTATAGTTTTGGAATGATTAATGAATAAGGTAGAGTCATATTAGATTTTATTTTAGCGTATGATTTTGTTATTGTTAATACTTTATTCAAGAAAAAAAATGAGCATATTATTACTTATAAGAATGGATATAATAAAACACAAATTGATTATTGCTTATGAGAAGAAGATATTGTCGAGAATGTAAAGATTATAAGATCATGCAAGTAAGGATTTAAGTACTCAACATCGATTATTAATTCCGGATTTTAAGATGAAGAATTATAAAATAAAAAATACTATGAATCATTATCATAGAATTAGATGGGGGCACTCAAAGATAAATAAAATTATTTTTATAACTAAATTTCATGATTTCAAAATTTGGGATGTTCGTGAAGAAGCAAATTATATGTGGGATAAAGTAACAAATACTATTAAACAAGCGACACAACATGTATTTGGAGAATCAAAAGGAAAAAATTCTATGAATAAAAATAGTTGTGATGGAATAGTAATGTGCAACAAAAGAAAAGATATAAAAAGTTATGTTATAAAAAATTGGTTTAAATGTAAAAATTTAGAGAATTGAAAAAAATATAAATAACTCATAGGTAGTCTAAGAGAGCAATCTATAATGCTCAAAATTCTGCTTTTAGTGATCTTTATAACATATTAGATATCGACCTTAATGATTTTACTATTAATAATAATAATAATAATATTTTATTTTTACTGTCGTATTAGTAAAAAGAAGTAGATGAGACTTTAATGAAAATCAAGGGTGGAAAGTCTTTAGGACCTGATAATATTTCAATTGAAGTGTGGAAATATTTAGGAGATTTGAGAGTTTCTTGTCTTACCGAACTTTTTAATATTTTTTTAAAAACTAAAAATATGTCTAAGGAATGGAGTAAGAGTATTTTGGTTCCAATTTTTAAGAATAAAGCAGATGCACAACAGTTTGCAAATCATAGAGGAATTAGGTTGATATGTCATACTTTAAAATTATGGGAGGGTAATTGAATATAGGTTAAGACGTATTACAAAAATTTCTTATAATAAGTTTAGATTTATGTCGTCCAGGCCTACTATGGAAGCTATATATTTATTGAGAGGTTTGATAGAGAAGTACAAAGAAAATAAGGAAGATCTACATATGATTTTTATTGATTTAGAAAAACCTTGCCATAAGATTTCAAGAGATATCTTTTGGAGAGCTCTAGAGAAGAAAGATGTTGATATGACTTATACTCGAGTCATTCTCGAGTCATTAAAGATACATTAAAGATATGTATACTAGAGTTGTTACTTTTGTTCGAACAGAAGGAGGATTGTCCAAATATTTTCCTATTTCAATTGGATTGCGTCAGGGATAGGCTTTAAGCCCATATCTTTTTGCTTAAGTTATGGATGCTCTAATTGAACATTTACAGGAGGATGTACCTTGTTGTATGTTCTTCGTTGATGATATCCTTCTTGTGGATAAAACTAGAGAAAAAGTTCAGGAAAACTGTAATTATGGAGGTCTACATTGGAGTCTAAAGGCCTTCGTTTGAGTAGAACTAAAACTGAATTCTTGGAATATAATTTTAGTCATGAACTGAATTCTTGGAATATAATTTTAGTAGTAGTAACTCTAGTGACATAGTTGTAATTATGGCTGATCAAATCATTAAAAGGTGTGAATATTTAAGATATCTCAGATTTATTATTCAAAGTGATGGTGATATAGATGGGGATGTTATTAAGAGAATTCAAGGTGGTTGGATGAAGTGGAGGAATGTGTCAGGCATATTGTGTGATAGAAAAGTACCATTCAGACTAAAAGGAAAATTTATTAAGATGTTGGTGAGACATGCAATGCTTTATGGTCTGACATGTTGGCCTTTAGAAGAGAAAGCATAAAACTAAGTTAAGTGTTGCCGAGATGAGAATGCTTAGGTGAATGAGTGGCTTTACACTTAGAGATAAAATGCGAAATGAATATATCCGTGTAGGGTTTATGTAGCTCCAGTGGCAGACAAAATTAGAGAGATTCCTCTTAGATGGTTTGGTCACATTAAATGTCGACCATCTGATGATTCGGTTAGGAGAGTAGATGTTTTAGATTCAACTTATGTTAAGAAAGTCAGAGGTAGACCTAGAAAGACTTGGACATATTGTGTAAAAAATGATATTAATTTATTATAATTAAATGAAAATATGGCACTCAATAGGACGCAATGAAGAAAAAGGATTCATTTAGTCGACCCCACTTAGTGGGATAAAGGCTTGTTTTTGCTGTATGTCACCTAACCAATGCGTGAAAAGGTACATTTTACATTTTTAAAGTTAAAATGGTAGTATTTTTTATGTGATATTATGGATTTGGATTGTATAACTATAAAAAATAAAGTTTAGGTGTTTGATATGTTAATACATAGGAATGGGTGGTATTTATGTAAATGCCCCATCAAATTTTTTTTCTTATATTTGGTACATGCATGACTCCAACCATTTTCATATTCGCATCATATTTAATTACATATTACTAGAACCAGATCAATGTGCTGGAACCAACCATCTTGCATACTAAGTTGTTTCCTACAAACACAATCACAATGCGGGTCATATTTGAAAAACATCTCATTGTTAGACCACACATGATATGAGCAAGTTTAGTCTAAAATGCCACATATCTTTTTATTTTTCTCCATCGGTCACCAAAATATCACATGTTAGAACCGGATCAATGTGCAATAATGTTAGCATCTATTGACTTTTTCCTCTTTGTGATATGCTTGTTACTTGTTTTTTTTTAAATTATGATGATCTCAATGTGTTATTTCTTCTTACAGTAGAATAGAGGCTTACTCTTATCATGATTAGATCTTTTCGCAAAAGATCTCATTCTAACCAATAATCTCTAAATTTTCTTTTATATTCATCTACACCATTAGACATATGGTAACATCTTCGAAACTGAGCAATTTCTTGACATCCTATAATTTATTTGTTACTCTCTCATGGAACATGATATTATCGAAATGTTTGTAAAATGGAATTAAAGGGCGCCATAATGATAAAGATTGATACTCATCATCAACAATCATCTCAATATTCATCAACTCACAAAAAATAAAATTAAATTGATTCATACATGACTTATTGAGCATTTCTTCTTGTTTGGGTAGCAAATATAATCTGTACTTTTGTAAATATACAAATATTCCCACTTGAGTTGAATCTCTTTCAACTTGTTAGATCGTAGTCTTGATCATATTTGTATGTATTATTTAGTCTAAAATGGAGTTAAGTGGCGGACAAGATAGGGAGAGTCATCTTAGATGGCTTGGTCACCTTAAACGTTGACCATCTGATGAGCCAATTAGGAGAGTAGATGTTTTAGATTCAACATATGTTGAAAAATACGGAGATAGACCAAAAAATTTAGGCATATTGCATAAAAACTGATTTTAATTTATTGGAATTAAATGAAAATATGAATCGCCTACTAAGATAATGGCTTGTTGTCGTTGTTGTTGATGATATTGCCTTGGCTTGTATATGCTAGCCTAGAACATTCCACACATCTTGGTTGTTTAAAATTTAAATCTTTTTATTCCATTTGATATGAAACTTAATAACCAGCATATTCATTATAAATTTAGTATCAATTGATAAGAAAATGCTCGACTTATTTGCAGAAACGCCATCTGTGAGAAGTGATGAAACTAAACAGGAGTTAAGGGGCGCTCCCTTTAAATTTAAGAAATGCCTCATATAATATAACAGTATATAATATGAAAGACTTACTCTTAAATCCTTTAATTACTAAGAAATTTAATTATTTCGAGTCAATGTTGCTATTTTGCTACACTCAACTACCATTTTTTTTTCCCACCAAGCATCAATCAAACGGAAGCCTTGGAATCCTTTAATGGAAATTCACATTATCAAAAATGTATTACTGCTCGAATACTCTTTTTAACCATCTCAATTTGCTGAAATCAATTGATATGATTATAAAAATTTTAGGGCATTTACATGATTACCACCCAATACCCAAGCATTTACATATCTAAAGCCTAAGCTTTACTTTTTACACACATACCAACCAAATGTTTCATATCACATAAAAAATACCACTATTTTAACATCTAAAAAGTGAATTACACCTCTTCATGCTTAGGTTAGGTGACATATATGTAAAAATTGAAGATTAGGTGTTAGATATGTAAATACATAGGAATTAGGTGTTATGTATGTAAATCTCCCTTATTTTATGAACTCACTATGTTCTCTTCTTCAGTGTAAGAGGTTGGTTATCGAATATGGCCCAATCATACTTCTCAACGCAGAGAAATTTTTTGAGAAAACAGACGTTTGTGCTGCGATTCATGCATGTAATCCTCCTCAAATTGCTGCTATTTGAACTCGAATTCCTTACTTCCTCTCCTGCTTGGATCGAACACCATAAATTAAAAAGAGAAGTTCTCGAGACTTCTCATGCTGCAAGAGTATTGAGAATCAACTGGTGTTTTCATTATTTTTAGCTGATAATACTATCTGCTTGTTTACAACAGTAATTGTTGTTCTATTAAATATTCGGGTATTTACATACATATTACCCAATTCCTATGTATTTACATACCTACCACCTAAATTTATTTGTTGCACTGATGTCACCCAAATCTTTCATATGGCTTAAAAAAAAACTATTATTTTTAACTTTTGAAAGTTGAAATAAACCTTTTCATGCATGGGTAAGGTGGCATATCGGTAAAAATTGAAGTTTGGGTGTTAGATATGTAAATACATGGGAATTAAGGGGTATATATGTCAATCTTACATTGTGGTTGTGGCACCAGTATGAAGAAGGTTTGGTAGTATTATGTCAAGGAATTAGATATTATCCATGTTTATGGTGTTTAAATTTGTGATTAAATTTGCTTAAATGTCTCGAATTAAAAGAATAAAAAGGGTAAAAATGATACTGAGTTTTATGCTGTGGGAATTTTATATTATGCATAATTACAAAGAAAGTTTATTAATGATGCTTTCATTCTATAGAGCCACATAAATATGCAAATTTTATGAAGACTTACTTGGGTAAATGCTTTGGAATAATTTTTTTTATAATTAAATTAAAGGGGTTTTTACATATTTACAACCTAAAATACATATAAATTTGTCGGCTTCTGGTCTATATAGCCCTTTCATTCTTCTGTATCAATAGATTTATGGACCGTCTCCGTAGCTCCAAAAAAAGATATGTTTTTTTGTACATGTGGCTTTCTGTTGCTTTGATTTTTATGGTAGCCGTGTGTTGTTGGATTTGGTACTTGGTCCACCTGAATAGGGACAGTGATGTTAAGCCTTGTTTCTCAGCCTTTCCAGTCCCCTTCCATGTCACTGTTATTTTGCTAAATGGCCCAATGGAGCATTTGAATCTTGGGGTTGATGGGGTCTCTTGGAATATGATTTCTAATTTTGATTACTTTGGCAATAAGATATTGTGGCTTCAATTGAGTCTTTGGTCATTTTATTTGTTATTCTTTTTATGGGATAATGTTTGTTTTTTTTTTTGTTATGTATCTAGTCCACAAGGAGGATGTGAGATAGATTTAACCATATAACAACTAGATTAGGGATAAAATTAGTGGTGGAATTAAGGGATGGTTGCTATCATTTGAAATGGCAAAAATCTTTCCCTCTTGAACTTATATACTTAATAATAATATTATATTATTTATATTTTTTATGTGATTGTGATGTTTTTTTATATTTAATAAATTGCTAATTTAAAAGATATATATTTTCATTGTTCATTATGAAACCTTCATCGATTAAAAATATGATTTTTAGGCATGGCTTGTCAAGAGAGATTTTGAGAGCTTTAAAGAATTTCAATTATGAAATGCTAAAAATGTATTTAGTACACATATAAAAGGTGTGAGAGATAATTAATCATGAAAATTAGATTAGTGATATAATTAGTGGTGGAATTAAAGGATAATGGTTATGAGAGGCATTCGTCACCCTTAAATTTTTTATTACACTATTTAAATATCATATGAAATGCTAAAAGTCTTATCTTCCTACTTACATAATAATAATATAATGTTATTATATTTTAGTGTGATGGGAGTTTTTTTTTTTTTATTTAATAAAATACTGATATAATGATATAATAGATGTATATTTTGATTGTTCCTTACTAAAGACATCGAAAAATAAAGTAAGCAATAATATAAATAAATTTGTAATAATAAAAAGTATTTGATAATATCAATATTAAATTCAAAATATCAAAAAAATCTCAAAAGATTTCATCCTAATGTAATGAATAAAGCATAGCAACATGATTATAACTAATTTAAGTTAAAACATTCAATGATAGGATCATTAGTAAACTCCATTGCCATCTTCAATAATATATTCATTTTCATCCATTAAAACTATAATTTTTAAGCATGGCTTATCAAGAGGAGCATATATTCTGTCAAGACTCCTAACGTAGAGAATCATTCACAGTCCAACGAAATCAAATCACGTGACGGTGCACAAAAAAAATAAAAATCTTTCCAGCAACACAGGAATATTCTCCCGGTGTTATTCTATATTATTCAGATGTTATTGTGTTCTGGGAATATTCTGGTATTATAATAACAAAATAATACATCAATAATGCTTAAATAACACACAATAACATCTAAATAACCCGGGAGGAATATTCTCTTGTATTACAGGGCAGATTTTATTTTATTTTTCTGTTACCGTCACGTGGCGTAATTTCATTGAACTCCGAATGATTCGCTACGTTAGGAGTCCTGATAGAATAATTTTCCTATCAAGAGAGCCCTTAAAAAAGTTATTTCAATATCATTTTTTATTGTTATTTCCAACAAATGAATAAATAATCTAAAGAAGCTGTCTACATTCCCCACTAAATAAAAATTTAATAAAAGAATCCCTAGCCGCCTCGAATGGGCCACTTGAATGTTGCAGCCGCCTCACGCCAGCCACGCAATTCCCGAGATCGGATTCTAAATCCCATTTCCTCAATTAAATCTAAGGATAAATACACGCTCCACCACCTGAAATATTATTATTTATTAAATCTAACCAATTATTAAAACTTGAATGAAAAAATAAATAAATAAATATATATAAAAAGAGATTGGAAGTTATGCTCTGATAAATTTTGATTTTTGAGTGTTAATTTGAAAAGTGGATGAAAAGGATGGTTTGGATGCTATGTATGTAATTGCCCCTTAACCATAAATGAATTACTTCTTAATTTAAATGAATAATTTTGATATTAGCTTTTTAATATGTTTAATTTTCTTAACATGCTTTACTAAAACTCAATTTAAGGGCAAAATTGCATTACTTTCTAATGTTATTTCAATCTCTATGTTGTCATTTGGATTATAAATGTAGAATTATGTGCTAAATAAGTAAATTGAACTAATTAGTGGCTCATAAAGTAGTGTTGAATCATTTTATGATGCCGGGTTTTGCATCGTTTGCAGGCTCATACAACCCAGAAGAGGCTTATGTAGAAAGGATGCGGGGGGAGATGATGGATAGGCATTCCCCAATACTCATGGGATTACAAAGAGAAAAAGAAATTTTAAACAACAGTCATATGGTATGAGGTTTGCCTGCAGAGTGCTAATGAAAGATTGCAATGTGAATGTTAAATGACTCGAAAATGGACATGCACATATTCTTACTCTTTAATGATGTTCTGTACTTCGACAGATCTAGAGAAATACTTGCTGGTTGAATTTAGCAAATAGGCTTGACAGGTCATCTCGGTAGAGTGTCACTGAAACAAGTCAAACTGATAGTTTGGACATGTGACAGCTGGCTTTTCGACGGATGAGTTTGGCAAGTTATCTTGCCATGTCAAACCTGACGGTTAACATGTGGCAACTATGTCTTGAAAAAAATGGGCTTCCTCGGCCTACCATACATGTCAGCCTATGTATCGACCTATAAGAGTCTTTTTTTTCTTTTTTTTTTAAAAAAAATTATACAAGTTGATATACTCAAAATCTTTTATATCAATTCATATTACATACCATATCAGTCACACTTTCAATTAAGATGAAAATTATATCGCAAACTAACACAAAAGAAGAAAAAAATCAACACAAAAAATATCTAAATTAATGATATTTCATTTAATACATTAAAATAAACAAAAATAAAAAAAAATGAAAAAAGAAATCAAAAGAGACGCGCCCATCATAGTTTCCAAATCCTCCCCACCACATAAATAATTAATAAAAAATCCATTTAACAAAATTATCTGGCCGCAAAAACATATTCTCAAATGGGCCCCTTAATTCTGAATTGGGCCACTGACAATACCACGTAAGTGCCTGGGGGCCCCTCGACATAGAACGGGCCAGCCACGCACAATTTCCTAGATATAACTCTAAATACCATTTCCTTATTTAAATAATAATGGATTATTCCTAAGAATATACTAATTCAATAAGTTTCATTCCTAAATAAAATACCAGCTGTTCATTTTGGACTTGTATGATTTTTTTTTTAAAGAAAAATATATTTATAATATCACTATAATTATTGAAAAAATTATTTTTCTCTTGGCGACTTTATAACTATATTTATAGAAAGCTGTCTCCAAATAGAATCTTAGTTATGGGTGTGAGTCTAGCGAACTAGTGAGTTTGCTCGAACTCTGCTCGATAAGTGACTTGCAAATTGAGCTCGATGAGCTAATAAGCTAAGCTCAAACCTGCCCCCAACTCTACTCGTTAGCTCAAAAGCCTGTTCTTTTAAAATAATGAATAAAAAATATATTGAAAATATATTAAATTTTAAAATTTTAATATTAAATTATTAAAATTATTAAAAAATGAAATTTTTTTCATTATTTATCTCTGAATTGTTGTATCTTTTTGTCATTTTATTGGAATGCTAGCTTATAGTACTATTATTTTTTCTCTTTTATAGTAATCAAACTGGCTCGGACTCGTAGACTAAAGCTTGAAATCAAGCTCAAACTCGATTAATTAGTCAAGCCCAAACTCAAATCAAAGGTGACTCAACCTCGAGCTGATTTGTTTGCACCCCAACTCTTAGCCAATCCATGTGCTTTGAGGTCATTCCTATGTCCAACTCATTGGAAAAAAATATCGGATGAGGATTCAATTTCCTTCAAAATAAATATAATCTATGATAACTCAAAAAGTATGTTAAACTAATTAAAGAATAAATTCAACAATGCTGAGAATTTAAAAAAAAAAAAAAAAAATCTATAGAATGAGGTCACATCCTTTGAAGGTATGAGAAGCTTCTTCATATATTATAAGAACGGCATATTATTATGATCAATTAAAAATTTGAGAAAATTGAAATTAAGAGGGAGGGAGGGAGGGAGAGAGAAAGAGAGAGAGAGAGAGAGAGAGATGAACATAAAAGCATAGTAGTTAGGCAGTCTAATCATGACCACATGTTCCAGCATATGCATATATATATATATATATATATATAAGAAAATCAAATTAAAGAACAGGACCACCAAGCAAGAACATCCATCAAGCCCACTTCTCTCCATGAACAATGAGTGGAAGCAATGCTCTCAACTATATGTGGCCACCAGACCTCAATCAAACTTCAATTTTTTTCAAAATTCTGAAATCGCATTTCTACTTGCATCAAATTCATAATTCTAATAACTTGGCTATTTTGCACTCTAAAATCTAAAACACATACTCATGAATCTGAACTCTCAATCAACCTTTAATAAATCATATACATTTATTAATAAAACACATCAAATACCACAACAAGTTTCACCCCCCACAATCATTAAAAAAAAAACAAAAATACAAAGCCAAATCACTCCAACAATCTGAACAGAAACAGAAACAGAAGCAGAAACAGTAGAATCACCATAAACAAAATAGAAAAATCTCTCTTCAGTGTTCTTCAAGCTGCCATGCCCACACGATATCCTTCAGAGCTGGCTTCATCTCCTCCTTCCATAGCTTCTGATACTCCATTGTATCTCCACTGCTCATACTGATTTCAACCATATGGAACGAAGAAGTCAGCTCAAATATCTCAACGTCAATACCCAAACCTCCCTTCCCCCTTTCTCTCAATCCCTCCATTTTCAAAACACCTCCACCCTTCTTCTTCACCTTCATCCCCAACCGCTCACCAACCTCCTCGAGCTTTGAAACAATGGCTGAAGCCGGCTTTGAGGACGTGAACCGCACCGCTTTCGTCCGGTTGGACTTCTCGAACAGGCCGGAAAGATCGAAACCTGACGAAAGAGAGATGATGTCAAAGGCATTCAAGTTAATGATCTTAGGTCCTTCTCGCTTTTCTTCTGTGACAGTGCCGTTTGAGGAAGCAAAAGCCGCATCGACATCCAGAGCACCCAATTCTTCAGCTTCCGCTTGATTTATCGCCTTGTTCGAACTCAAACCCTTTCTAAACCATGAATTCTCCTTGATTTTCGCCATTGAAATCCTTGTTGCCGGATTAGGATCGAGAATCCTCATTATCAGCCTTCTCACATCTGAAGGGAACCAATTCGGGTACTTAACTTCTGCCTTACCAATCTTCTTGTACATCTCCATCAAATTCTGATCCTGAAATGGCAAAAAACCAGCTAAAAGAACAAACAAGATCACACCACAAGACCAGATATCAGCTTTAGCTCCATCATATCCTTTCCTACTGATCACCTCAGGAGCAACATAAGCTGGAGTCCCACAAGTAGTATGGAGCAAGCCATCTTGCTTCTTCGAATCCGCGAGGGCGCTCAATCCAAAATCCGAAACCTTCAAGTTTCCATTATCATCTACAAGCAAGTTCTCGGGTTTCAGATCGCGGTGATAAACTCCTTGACTATGACAGAAATCAACCGCGCCAATTAGCTGCTGAAAATATTTCCTTGCAACATCTTCCTTAATCCTTCCCTTCAAAACTTTGTTGAAAAGCTCTCCACCTTTGACATATTCAAGGACAAAGTAGATCTTAGATTTGGTAGCCATGACCTCATAAAGCTGCACGATGTTCGGGTGTTTCACTAATCTCATGACTGAAACCTCTCTTTTGATTTGATCTATGAGTCCAACCTTGAAGACCTTCTCCTTGTCAATCATCTTTATGGCAACACTTTGTGATGTTTTAATATTTCTTGCATGATAAACCTTTGCAAATGTACCCTGGCCTAATAGTCTCCCTAATTCATACCTTTGCATCAGAACACAACCTTTGTTTTCTGATCTCATTTTCGAAATCTTTCTATAAGTTTGATACCTCCTGTAAGTATGTTTAAATTATACGGAAAGAGGAGTTTTGATTCAAAAGATTTCAACCATCGTCGCCGATATCATGGCCCAACAGAACAGGATTTGTTGAATTGAATATTCGAGTGCTCATTCTTGAATGAAGATTATGATGGAAGATTGTTTTTTGAACAATCTTGTTGAAGATGAGAGATAGCAGCAGCTGGTTTGGAGTTAAGGATTTGTTTGATTTGGGCAAGAAATTAATTGCGTGGAGGCACATCTTTCAGCATTCCTTGGAATTTTTATTTCAATTTTTTTTCCTGAAAAATATTTGAGAGAAATTTTGGCATGAAAGATTATCATATTATCAAATCTATATACATAATTAAACACAGTTTATCAGAATCAAAAGAACAGAAACAGAGTAGAAGAATTTCAGAAAAAAACAGAAGGAAAAACAAAACTCTTTTTTTTTCAACAGAACAAAATTGAATCAATCAAAGAGAAATCTGAGCTTCACCTGTAGAAATCTGTATGTAATTCGCAACGCTCGACGGAAGACTGCGTGAATCTGAGAAGAAGGGAAACTATTGAGGGATCGCGAGGAAGAAGAAAAAGGGATTCTATGAAGGAGGAAACCCTAGCTCTAAAATCCCGACCTTTTCTAACTTTGTATTCTCTTCGATGCTGTTCAGATTCCTGGAAGTGAAACCCGAGGGCGCTACGCAGCTCCACCGCCTAGTTGTTAGGGCCCCTGCCCTGTTTGGGGTTGTAAACTAATCTTATTAGGCCCCATTTGAATAGAATTTTGTCTATATAGCACTTAGATTTTAATATTTATAAAATTAACATCGTTTTATTTTTTTTATCTAATAATAGAATTTTTAGTTTCATTTTGTACTCATTTTATTTCATGGAAAGCAAAATCATAAAGCCCACTCTATTATAACAACTTTATTAGCATGTAATATGTACATTACATGAAACATGAAGCATAAATGTTATATTTTTTTTTAATGAGACGAACACATATACGTCCAATTCTTATGTATTTACATAAATACATAAGATTATCAACATTATAATTTCATATTTTCTAATTCAAAAAAAGAGTGGAAATGTTTAATTACAATCTTATAGTGTGTTGATTTGAATGGGCTAGGTCGCGTATTTTTTCAATTTCTATTGTTTAAGTGTTAGATAAAGTTAGGTAGAAGTTATGGCGAGTATATAAATTTTCCTTAATAATTTTATGATTTATCCTTAAATAAAATTTAATATATATTTTATTTTTCTGATCGAAAGCTTCCAAGCAAAATATATCCCTAATGTGGACACAATTTTAATATGAATTTTTCAAATCATTAATAATTTAAATCTAATGTTTGAATCTTCAATTATTATAACTCTAAATTAAAAAATGACATTTTTATTTTATTATTATTTTACCCTTTAATTTGTTGTTGGGGTCCATCGGAAGTTAGTTGCCTCGAATGCTTTGCCTTGGCAAAAAAAAGAGTGGCAAATCTAAAGATAACATACAATATATATATATATTCTTCAAAGAAAATGGCAAGAGGCTATTATACAAGCCTCCAAACATCTCTAATGTGTCTAACAATTCAATTACCACCTCCTTAAGGTCAACTGTACGAGAGGGGATTCAAACCCCCGACCTGAGGTCTTTTATATCGTGGATGTCAGCCAACAGGTTGGGATACGCGACACGGGTATATAGATGCATTATAATTTACATAAAAATAAATCTAATAAAATTAAAACTTATCATATTGTCTAGACCTAAATTTTTGGGTATATATGCAAACAATCGGTTTTACAAATTTTTAGCATATCATATAAGAGAAGGAAAGGCATGTGAATACATGTGGGGAAAAACTTAATAATTACTTTAAAAACATAAGTATTTGCATTTATTAGAATAGTCATAGCTCGACAGAAGGCACTATGCCTAATTATTGTACTTTTGTTTCATTTGTTTGGTGAAGGGTGCAAAAGCTAAACAAAAAACACTCTCTCATTATTCTATTTTTTTATTTTGTTTCAATGTGAATTATTTTTCTTAATTTATTGCAATAGAATGTTTAGGGTTTTTGAGATTTATTTCAACTATAAATAAGCAAATATAAGAAGAAGAAGCCTAAAGTAAAGAAAGAAATAAGAAAATAATTTTTTTTAATAATATTTTAAGAAAATCTTATTATTACAAGAGGATATATAGTACTAATTATTTGTTTTATATTAGAATACTCGCAATAATTGAGACTAAGTCCCTCATACAAAAATAATATTTACATTCATGTCACTCAATTTTTATGTGTGTGTGTGTGTGTGTGTGTATATATATATAACACCATGCATATCGCCTAGCTTATGCATGAAAAAAGTATATTTAACTTCTTAAAATTTAAAATACTAATATTTTTTTATGAAATTTGAAAGATTTGGGTGGTGTAAATGTAGAAAACAATGTTTAGGTAAGTGTTAAATGTAAATACATAGGAATTGATGGGCGTGCATGTAAATGTCCAATTATTTGAATATTTAATTTAGGCCCATTTTAAAATATTATTGGGTCCATCTCGCTCAAGAATAAATTAGTTGGAAACTAAGCCCAAATGCTTTCAAAATCAATTACTAAAATCTTTTTAGTACAAATAATTGAGTTTTTTTTTAAATTTTAAAAATTATGTTAAATATTATATTTGATAGGTTGTGAAGGCTGATGGCGTGTCAACGTCAATACTTTTAAATTCACACCCATTAAAAAATCAAAATATTATTGCAAAACTATTTTAGAGCAATATTTTTTTTTTTTGGTCTAATGCTACAAATACTCAGCATCTTTTATAAAAATTAAATGGTATAAGAGGAAGAAAATGAGCGACTATATTAATATTTAAAATATATGAAATTAAAAAAACTTAAAACAATAAATTTAGGGTTTCCTTGATAGGGGCATCAACTTAAAACAAATTCCAATAAATTTAAATAACTTCAAACAAATTTAAGATAATTCCAAATATATTTTAGTGCCGTTAAACTATAATAAAACTTCATAAATTAACTTTAGCAACCCTCAAAATTTTTTTTAACAATCTTCTAGCGGTATCTAAGCCAACATATCTTGCTCAGAATAAATGTTATTTAACCTGGATCAAATCAAACCAGCTCAAGTTTCTAGCTGAATTAAATCAACCAAACCAAACTCTTTTCAAACCAAATCAATCCCAAATCAAACATGTTCAGCTCAAAAATGATCAAAATCAAACTCTTTTAAACGAGAAATTCAATTCCTCAAATCAAACTCAATCTTTCTCAACAAATTTACAATTCTAATCCTTAGGGTACACTTTCTCGCCAGACCTGACTAGTCCATTTCTTGGGTCTTTCCATGCCACACTGTCATTAAATTGTAAGTCCCAAACTTTTAATTATTATCAAATCTTTCAAATCATAAGCCATCAATCTGAGGTTTTGAAACATCAATCTTTAAGACTTACCATATAATGATGTCTGATTTTTAAGTAAATACTTTAATCGAGAATATTTTCGAGAGCCATAACTTCTGGGATGTAATTAACTATGAGAGCTTACCTTTGTAGAAATACTAGACCCTATAAAAAAATAAATGTTAGCATGCACCCATAAGGCAAGTTAAAAATCTTGGGATATGCAAACCTATAAATATTAAAGATTTTTCTCATATGAATAGTTAGCTCCATTTTTTAGATAATATTTCTCTCATTATGGATTAAATTATTTTTCAAATGACGCATCCGATTTTTTAAATAGAAAACTTTCAAAAATCTATGATGGAATAGAATAGTAACACAAAACACATTTTTCACCGACACATACTGCACAATTGATCGACCTCCCCACACCAATCTAAAAAAATTATCATGCATCTCTTTTCTATTTCCTGACTGACAATAGTACTAACCAGTCTCTGAAGATACGAACTCCTCTCACTTCACAAAGTAGCTAAATCGAACACCAAACTTCTCCTACAACTATTCTTGCCACCACTCGTTGTTTCCCCCTCAATGATAAAAGTAACAAGGGCAATTTTCCTCTCTAATGGATATATCATACAGTGTATAATTTTCTCCAGTCTCGTCAATCAATTTTCATCTTCCACTGATCCACCTAATCCAAAAAATTAAGTTGATCTCATATCATAAAAACGCTTCAAATACTTATCCATATGTACCCCCTACTGCTATAATCAGTTGAGTAACATCATTCATCATACTAGTAAGGGTATTAACACCAACAAGCATACTAGCTCCTACACCATCATTCATAACTTCTTCCTAAAACAATCTAATTAGACTCGAATAAAATTTCAATTATACTATTTATAACTTAATTCAATCCTTTAAATGACACTTTCAGTTAGATTAATATTGTTTAATTTAAATATTTTCTATAGTACCACTTTCGTCACAACCCGATCCGAGCATTGAAATTAACTAAGTTGGGAACAGCCAATTGGGCGATAAAAATTAAAAATTTTCTATATTAACTTATCTAAATGATCCTTTAAAATATTAAATAGCTTAAAACAAATTCCAATAAATTTAAATAGCTTCAAACAAATTTAAAAATTTTCTATATTCACTTATCTAAAAATTTTCTATATTCACTTATCTAAAAAATTTGTAATTAAAATAAACTAAATGATCCTACAATTAAACTAATTTAACTAATCAAATAAAATATTATCTTTCAGGTTACTGACGAGATCTTTTATTCACATTATCTACTATAATATTCATCTTATAAAAAACCTTAAATTTAAAAAAAAAAATATTAAAACATAATGAGTCATCTAAAATAATCTAGTGGAATAATCATACTTCTAAATTATAATAACCCAAAGAAAATAAGATAATATATATTCTAACATTTCTTATTTCATAATAGAAAATCATATAATAATCTAATATAATTATTCATAACATTTACTCAATGAAAATAATCTAGAATTCAATATGCATTAACCTTCACTTTATTTTTCATGTTTTAAATCTTATCCTTAAATATATGTAATATTTTTAATTCACATCCGTCTCAAAAGCATCATCAAAACATAATCTAACACATTCCTGACCAATATTTTCCTATTGATGTAGCAGATCATGATCTAAATTACATTATTATTTGAGAGGATAATGCGTCTTCTCACCTCTAATCTATATTATGTCACATCTGCACAACAATTCATAATCTAAAACGAAAAGAAGTTACCATTCTATTAAAACAACTTCTAGAGATGTTGCTTTGACAAACAAGAGCAAATCCACACATCGACATTAAATGCATAGAACGAAACTTCGCTATCTTGTCAAACGAGGGCTAATAATATCCTAACTAATGACTCCACTAAAATGAAAATATCTTTGCAATTAGACCAAATATGAAAAAAGATATTTTATTAAAACTTAACCATTTAAAAACTTAAATACACTCTTAATATACTTCTATAAATTTCCACTCAAATACTAAATTTTAGAACAAAATATAAAATCAGTTTTTAAATTTTTATCAAATTCACAATAGCTAAATCACAACATGCATAAATGCACACATTTAATAATTTAATATTTTTAAAATCAAATGCATTTATAAATATGCATAATTTTAGTGGCATCCATCATATAATTCTCCGTTCTAAAAACAATTACAATAACACAATTTAAAAGTTGCTTTCAGGACATACTTGAGTTGATTAGAGTACATATTTGAGACAATTTATTTACGAATAAATAAAAAAAAAGTTTAAAAGTAATGAAATTCAATAGATTGCAATTTGATTTTATAAACATAAAAAAGGCAGAATTAAACACTTCTAAATGAAGTAATGACAGAGCACATGGACAGAACTGGACATCAACTTCTCGTCATCAATGAGCATCATGCAAACCTAGAAACATCCATCTTCATACAAACTAAGCAGAAGATAATCAAAATTAATAATTTTACAAGTTTACCAAAAAAAAAAAAAAAAAAAAAATAAAAAAAACAAAGAATCATACAAACTAAGTAATTTTTGAAATATAGTCAATCATTGTAGTGCAATTATACCAGAAGAAAATAATACATAAAAACTTACCAAAACTTCTAAACAGGTGAGCTTTGAGACACTTTTGAGGCAGTTCTTAACATAACGAAGAATTTTTGCTTCCTATGCATTAAAAAATGGTAGAGGTCCTGAGTTTTATCTGTACAAAGAGCAGCAAACAAGTTATATAACCAAATATTTCATACAGTTAAAGATAATGAACTTTGATCTGTACGCACAACTTTCCCCAACAACTAAAACGCTTACCTCAAATTCCATATGGTATAAAAATAGTAAACAGAATCAAACGATTGTATCGGTCCTGAGTTTCCTTCTGGATGGTGACTTGTTTACGATTTGATTCTGTAAATCCATAAAATTCAACCCTTTATGTGCAAAGAGTCTTTTCAAGTTGATAACAGAAAGTTCATTGAAGCTTGCCACGGCAAGATCGGCCTGCTCCAATTCGTACCTATTGCATGAGAAAATAAAAATTAAGATTAAAATAATTTGGGCAAAAGAGAATTATAACATCATATGGGTTTTGCATATAGGCATGTCCTGTAAATGGAATTTATAGCATATGATGGTGAGGGAAGTCGGTTTCATTGAAGAAAATGACTTAAGATGGTGATTTTGTCAAAAGCAAGATGATGGTGAAGGTATCTTTTGTGAGTTGTAGTTAACCAGAAAAATGTAATGGGAAGATTGAGGGGTTAACTTTTAAGGAGCTAGAGGTTGTTGCCAAGGGATGTAAGGGCTATCAAAAACGCAAAGTATGTAGGAGATGTCTGATATAGTAGTTCATTTGAGGTATTACTATTTGTTGTGGGGGAGTGCGGTCAATCAATAAAAAAAACAACTGTGAATATGGCATCAATCCCAAGGTGATAGGTTTGGTATGAGTAAAAGTGCCCAAGTAGTTTTAATTAGGTGGCAATATTTGCACTTGACAATAACAACAACAACAACAAAGCTTGTATCCCACCAAGTTCAGTAGGCTACATGAATCCTTTTTCTCCATTGTATCCTATGGAACGCCTTATTTTCATTAATTCTAATAGATTAAGATCATTTTTTATACAACTCGCCCAAGTCTTCTTAGGTATACCTCTACCTTTCTTACTAAAAGTCAAATATAAAACATGTACTCTCCTAACAGGATCATCAGATGGTCGACGACACTCGACGTTTAATGTGAACAAACCATCTTAGACCACACTCTCTAACCTTGTCTATCACTGAAGCTACACCAACCCTTTCATGCATATATTCATTTCACAATTTATCTCTAATTGTAAAGCCAATCCTCTACCTAAGCATTCTCACCACAACAACACTTTACTTAGTTTTATGCTTCTCTTTTATCGACTAACATTCTGCACCATAAAGCACTAACATTCTGCACCATAAAGCATTGTAAGTCTCACCACCGTCTTATAAAAGTCTAAGCGGTACTTTTTATGGCATTTAGGCCTACACTTGATATTTACGCATGGCAATGCCATTTTATATGATTTGTAGAGACAACTAAGTTGGTGTTATGTCATGATCCAAGAGATACTTTTGGAGTGTTAAGTTTGTATTTATGACCACAATTAGAAAGTAAGAATTTGATGTGGTTATTGAATTGATTTTGTGCCCACGTACTTGAAGTTGACAATTTTTGAGCTATTTTATATTTTATTTTCATGAGAAAAATAAGACAAAAGTGTGAGCAATTGTCAACAAAAAATTATTTGGGAAGATCCCCAAGTATCATACTGGATTATTTCAAGAGGTTTGTAAACGTGAGAAAAAAACTTAGAGAAAGGGAATCTGACTCTTTATATAGCTATTAGTGTTGCAAAAAATTGACATAGGTAGTCGTCCTAGAAATTTTTGTTGGTTGCTAATGATGAAGAGAACCAAGTTGTGTTGATGGCCCAGTCTGCAATGTTAGTTGTTGGAGGAAGTTTTGGATAGAGGTGCAGCTGTCTAAGAGTGAGGCTGAGTAGGCTAAATCAGGTAGATGCCATTGCAACTGTGATCCCAAGAGCTAGCTAGGTCCTTGAAACCTTGATGTTGCCAAAGATACAGAAAAATTACCATCAGTGTTGAGTTATTAAACAAAGAAGAGATTAAGTAATAGTTTGAAAACATTGAGAAAATGAGAAAGTAGTTACTTATGATTAAATCTCAATAGAAGTCCACTGGATAAATTTGAGATGGAATGTACCATGCATTTTCAATGAGCACTGGTTCAAAACCTTGATAGGGAGAGGATTTTAGAATATAGTTGAAACTAGATGTAAGGTGAGTTGAAGCTTTGGAATCAAGGTAAGACAAGGTGAGATAAATTTTGTGTAGCTAGTAGAGCTTGTAAGTTGAAACAAGCATTTTGAGTGGTATAGCTGAAACTCGTTTGATGTCGATAAATGACAGTTGAATGTCTGGATTTCCCGCAAAATGACACCAGATTGTAGCGGTTGAGCTATGACACCCCCTTGTGTGAGTGATGTTGTCCACCCCTTCTAAAGAGTTCAAATAACCTGTGTCACAGCCTGTAGGTATGGAGCCTTTCCCCCCCTGAGAGACAAACAATGAGAGCTAATTAGGGGTCAGTTGTAGCAATATGCTAGCTTGCTTTTTTCACAGCAATACTTCTATCTTCATTCCATATGTGTGAACAGAGATGATCTAGGCTCACAGAAGTTAGCTTTGTACGAATAAAGGTCTTGAAGGCTTGATAGATACCCAGTTGGGATACCTAGTTGGCCATTGATAATGTATAGAATGACATCTTTGGCATCAATATGAGAATCGACAACAAAGACATTGTCAACGAGATTTGATTAATGAGATATATTTGGTTACGAATATATTTTCCACAGATATGTAATGCAGATCATTCTTAAGCTTCATTACACAGGAGTGGTTGGAGAATTGTAGATGTTTTTCAAGACATCGAAGCAAGTGACCAGATAGATTGAGGACATGTAATAGAATTGAGAAAGTGATTGTTGAGTATAATGTTGCTGCCAACTTTTGGTGTAGCAGCCTCCATGAAGTGTCATAACATCATCAGACAAGTCTTGAGATGGACAGTCAGAAGTTTCATCAAGAAGTCCAGTAAAGCCATTTGCATTGAAACATATGAGAATTAGTCCTCCAAATGGGGCAGTTGTCACTTGTAAACTTGTAAGGGAAGCGTTGAATATACTTGATGTTTGTCACTAGAAATTTAGGAGGTATCTAAACGTTAACATTCTGTACAGTAGATGGGATGGAGTTAGCACAATTAGCATCATTTACAAAGGAAGCTTGAGAATGATTCATGATTACATGAAAAGGGAATACTTGGATGAAAGATGAGCTGATGCGGTAATGCAAGGGCCCTAATACTATAATGAAATGCAAATACGAGTTTGTGAAGAAGAACAAAAACAAAGAAGCGGTAAGAAGGACAATGAATAGTGCCACATTGCTGAAATGAAGAAAGGTATTGAATAGTTCCTTATATGAATTCTGATAAGACATTTGGTATTAAACATTTGAGTTAATTACAAAAGATCAGAGGTAATGATGCTATAACGGAGCAGCAATGGTGTGATCCATTGATTATGGTTCCATTTCAAACAGAAAGGCGGCTACTCCACACTAAGGCCCACTTGGATTAGTAGAAATGTGGCGACTAACTATATGCCACCGTACAATTTTAGCCCCTTTCAAGTGGAACTTCATCTGGAGCTTTCAAGTTCTTCCAGCACAAGCGAGCACTATTTTCTTGCACCAGAACTAGAGTTGTCGGAAAAAGTATATATATGCATGTGTGCTTGTGTTTATGTGCACGCATATATATATATATATATATATATATATATATATATATCATTCGGTAATGCAAGGGGCAACTGGACCTAATTTGTTGCCTATCATACCCATGCAAAGAAATAAGAGCATAATTAGTGCATTATACTGAGAAAAAATCACCCTACCCATGCTAAAAAGGGGGTTAATTAAATCTTATACATCCCTATCAAGGCTAGTACAACATAAAAAATAAATAAATAAAATGAAATGCAATTATAAAAGTTCCCCCACTGCATTAAGAAAGATATGCTTACTTTCAATGAACGTGTAATACCCCTAATATGATAAAGATGAAAATATGAATCCTAATGCACGACTATTTAGGTTAACTAAACTAAATTAATCCAAGTAATTGAGTTTAGTAATTATTTAAAAGTGATATTAATTAAATCATGATAGATGATTTAAATAGAAAGATATTATTGGCTTGATCGTTGTGACTATCAATATTTCCTAGAGCAAAACTCAACTTATAGCACAATTTTATTGGTTATCATCTTGTTGAGATGTACAACTGTGTACTTTAACTTTCAACTTCTTTAAAGTAAGCGTCTCCATTTCAACATTGAACAAACAGAAAAGGGAAATAGCTAATACAAAGTACTTCTCATTGAAGCAAAGATAAAATGTCAACAAATATCCTTAGAAAAGAATTAAGGAGTCGAAAATTCTCCAAAATTACTCAATTATCATCATAAATTAAACACTAAATGCCTATAGTTTGCAATCTACAAAAACATTTACAGTGACTAACAAGTCAAAAAACTAAAATAGGGTATTGTTGGAGGAAAAGATTTTACTTACGCTGGATGAGCACCAATCAATGCAACTGCCATCATTGTACAATTGTGGGCTGCAGTAATACCTCTTGGATCATCTTCAAATACAACACACTTTGAAGGTTTTCGATCTAACTGCCAAAAAATGAAATTGAAACAAGGGAATCAGATCTATTATCAGAGTGATATAGCTATCTATCGATCTATATTTATATCTATATGTATGTATGTATGTATGTATGTATGTATGTATGTATGTATGTATGTATGTATGTATGTATGAAATGTTCAACAATTAAGGACTGATGGAAAAAAAAAGCCATGATGCCATTTTGTGATCTGGAAGGTTCAGTACAGTTGATAGCACAGACATAAATCTGGCATTAAATTATGTTACTATGTTTAAAAGAAACAGTACGAATAGTAGCTATCCTCCAATGTGCACTTTTTTTCAAATAATTCGCCAAAAAAATTATCCGAGACCCCATGGAGAATAAAAAAGCTCGGTTCAAAGGAATAATGATTCCAAGAATCATTGGCATATCATGTCAGAATTCTTGTTTAACTGTGGATAAACTCAATAGTAAATTTTAAAAATATCAAAAATAGGTAATTGGATCATCTAATGCCTAACAATCACTCAAGTTGGTTATGTGGACCTTCATCATTATCAACCAAATGTACATCTCTAGCAAAGTAAGCGACAAAAATCCATGCTAAGAAAAAACACGTTAAAACATTTATAGCATTTATAAGTACACAAAAAATGCTTATAATAAGGTTTCAAGAGAAAGCCTTTGGAGAGTTCTAGAGAAGAAAGGTGTTGATATGACTTATATTCAAATCATTAAAGATAGGTATATAAGAGATATTACTTATGTTCGAACAGAAGTAGGATTGACCAAATATTTTCCAATTTTGGATTAAATCAGGGATCGACTTTACGCCCCTATCTTTTTGCTTTAGTTATGGATGCTCTTACTGGATATTTACTAGAGGATGTACCTTGGTATATGTTTTTCGCTGATGACATCCTTCTTATGGATAAGATTAGAGAAAAAGTTCAAGAAAAACTTGAAATATGGAGTTCTACATTGGAGTCTAAAGGCCTTTGTTTGAGTAGAACTAAACTGAATACAAGGAATGTAATTTTAGTTGTAGTAGCTCTAGAGGTAGAATTGTAATTATGGGTGATCAAATCATTAAAAAGAGTTAACGCTTTAAATATCTCCGGTCTATTGTTCAAAGTGATGGTGATATAAATGAGGATGTTATTAGTAGAATTCAAACTGGGTAGTTAAAGTGGAGGAATGCTTCGAGCACATCGTGTGATAGAAAAGTACTGTTTAGACTGAAAGAAAAATTCTATAAGATGGTGGTGAGACCTGCAATGTTCTATGGTGCAGAATGTTGGTCTTTAAAAGAGAAGCATAAAACAAAGATAAGTGTTGTCGAGATGAGAATGCTTAGGTGGATGAGTGGCTTGACACAATTAGAGAGAGTCGTATTAGATTGTTTGGTCACATTAAACGTCAATCATCTGATATTCGGTTAGGAGAGTAGATGTTTTAGATTTAAGTTATGTTAAAAAAGGCAGAGACCAAGAAAGACTTAGGCATATTGTATAAAAAATGATCTTAATTTATTAGAATTAAATGAAAAATTGACACTCAATAGAATGCCATGGAGAAAAAAGATTCATGTAGCCGACCCCATTTAGTGGGATAAAGGTTTGTTGTTGTTGTTGTATAAGCACACAAAAGCATAAGCAAATGCATTTGGGTACATATGAGTTCGAGAAGATCTACTGATACCGGAGAAAAAAGACTCAATCCGATACGAAAAAACACAATTATTATTACAGAATTCAAAATAATACAAACGAGACTCTTGCAAGATGAAATCATGACAACAAACAACAACACAAGTATAAAGACACAACACATAGACTCCAATAAGGGTGACGATAGCAAGTGGGGATGTTGGCGGTAGTAGGTTGAGGGAACTAGGGTCAGTGGTAAGGAAACAAGGGAAGGGACAGCAGGTTTGACTATAGGGAAGGGGGAGCAGCAATTAGATGACAGTTGGAAGGCGCAAGGGTCCACTGGCGGGATGCTAGAGGTGAGCCAGAGGGGAACAACAAGATATCCTATGGGAAGGAGTGGGCAAGGGTTGCGGCGTGCTGAAGGTGAGCCAGAGGGAGGGCAGCAAGTTGATGACTATTGGACTGCGTGGGATAGGGGGTTGTGGAAAGATAAATATCTCGTCAAGGTCATGCTACAACTGGAGCACCACCCAGACTCTTGGAGACGGTCACCTCGAATAAGTTACAGTTAGAGCATCTTCCGTCGTTGGATACAACCTCCAAAAGGGAAGAATGTCTCAAAGGCAGTAGGTGAAACCAACAATCATCTAAAAACCTCCACTCTAACCTCAGAAAAAAGGACCTACATAAAGAGGGGATTAGTATATAAAATAGGTAAAGAGTAGGATGTGAAAACTTACTATTGTTAAAAGGATGAAACTAAAGTTAAAATTTTTAGATGAAAGTAGTAGGAAAATTATTTTACTATATATAGTGTGAAAAATTGAATTCTTTAAAAATTAAGGATTTTTTGAATAAAACTTTTTAAAGAATTGAGACTCTATTAAAATTCTTTTTCAAAAACTAGTACTACATTTATTGAAAAAAAATTTTTAATTTTACGAAAGAGATAGTGAAATTCAAAATCATTAAAGGTCTATCCATATTTAGTAATTCTCACATAAATGAGTAAGGATTAAAAAGATCCTAAATAAAAAGAAAAATCCTAAAAGAAAAAAAAAGAAAAAAAAAAGAAGAGTAAAAGAAAACTAAAAAGAAAATATGTGGGGAAAAGCATGAGGATTAAGACCTAATTAAAAATTGATTTCACTTGAATTTTTCTAAATTAAAAATTGATTTCACTTGAATCTTTCTAAGGAAGAAAACTTAGGATCAATACTAAGCTTAAATTCAGAAAGTATTAGTAAAATTATTTTCAAAATAGAATCCATAAATTCTGAAATTAATATTTTTCTAAGAATCCAAAATTTGAAAACTTTTCAATTATTTTTGAATTAAATAGAAAAACAGGAATTATAACGAGAAAGCATCAAGAAAGGGAAAGAAAGGGGGACTATGGTTATTGCAACAGCTACAGTAACATGTTAAGCTCCCGCGTCATCTACTAGGTATAAAAGCAAAAGAACTAAAAATTCATACAAAACTTGAACACTGAAATTGCATAGAGAACCATAGAATATTAGAAAAGATAGTGCAAATTAAGAGAAAGCAATCAATATAGCAAACAAATGACCAATTCCACTTCACAGAGTATTGCATCTTCACACCTTCAACGCAGCTGATAGAAATCTATGAGCTGTTGATTCCATCCCATCCTCTTCTGTCACAACAGCCTGCAAATATCAAAATACGAAGAAATTGAAAGGACGTCTTCATGATTTCAAAATACTGCCCACACCCACACCCATCTAACATGCAGAAAGTCCAGGATTAGTTGATATAAAGCCTGCTCTTTATAAATAGAAAGAGTAATAAGAAAAGATAGAAAGATTTACATACATACCACTCAATTCCTATGTATTTAAATATCTAACACCTAAACTTCAATTTTTACATATATACCACCTTTTCTATGCATGAAAAGATGTAATTCACTTTTTAAAAGATAAAAAGTAGTATTTTTGATGTGATATGAAAAATTCGGGTGGTATAAAAGTAAAAGTAAAGTTTCGGTATTAGATGTGTAAATAAATATGAACGGTGTGTTATGTATATAAATGCCCCTAAAAGATATTAAACCTGAAAATACTTGCTGATTCCCATTCGTTTTAAAGTTTCAAGCATAATTTTACGATCAAGGCATGACACAACAGCACAAGGTGTCCCAGCAGTATAAACGGCATCCAACCATTCCTTTAAACCTTTCATTGGAGTGTCAAGCTGTAACGATTCGAAGCCATAGTTGTTATAATAAAATGAAACTCATGAGAAAGTGATTCAAAGAATGCATTAGGAAATATCCGACCTTGAGAAGATTTTGATAATACAGCAGTGAAAGCCTCGACTTCAACTTCTCCAACCTACTCTCCTCTTTTTCCCAGCACAAAACCTATATGTCAGAAAATAAGACTCACAATATCACAATTGAAAAACAGATTGAACGAGCAACCTTAAAGAAAAACAGTATTCTTGAAAAGCGGGAATCAAAATGGATCCAAAGTTACTGAGCTACTGAGAAAAGAAAAGAAGAAATGAGCAAATAGCATGCAGTAGGAAGGATTAAAAGAGAAGTGAATCAAGACTCAAAAAACAATTTCACATGTATATATCACCCAAGATTGATGATAAATGGCAAGTACAAAAAAAAAAAAAAGAACAACAAATAAATTTGTAACAACCTAAAAAGAATCCAGTCTCCAATAGGATAAACAGTTTCTTTTAAAAATTGAAGGCTCCAAGCAAATATCCAATAGGGGGATCAGGCATCTAAGAGGAAAAACAAATTTGAATTTTATCTCTCAAAGTAAGTTACAACTAGTTCTTAAAAGCTCACACCAAATAATAAAACATCTTTAATTGTTCAGATTTAAGAAACTATTAGCTTTAAGTGCCTGCTTGTTTCAATGATAGAATTAAAGCGCTCATGCATAGTTTTGAAAATGAGCTTCATTTTAGTAATTTCATTAATATTTGATTGATTCGCATGGATTGACTTCTGTGTATTCAGCTTCAGTATTTACTTAGATTACAGTGAGTTTCATTGTTATCTATAATCTCATTAAATCCTATAATATTTTGTATTTCACCAATATGAGTAAAAGTAGCACTCTAAGTCAATCGCCTTGAAATGATACAACTTTTTATTATCATTTTATGTAAAAATCAAAATGACGGCATTAGACATACAAGCCCTCATAAGTGAACCTCACTTTTAACCTTTATAAAGGTGAAATCCAAAGAAAAATCTCACATTTATCCGATTTCGGCCAGCATCAAAACTCAGTTCTGACCACTTTCAAACACTTGGACTAAAAAAAAAACAACAACAACTAGCTCTTAGGAAAGTTCCCTTTCTGATTATAAACAAAAACTTTGTTGCTACCAGGAAAGACAATTAAACAAAAAATTAGCAGATCAACTCGTCCAACTAATTTTGCATAGAGATCCCAAGTGACATTTGTAACCAATAAAATTTGCTGCAAAACTTTTTCCAAAATTTCAATGCTAATAAGTTTCATCTACATGGACGTTTGCCTTTCAAGTAGCACTAAGAAATGAGAAGCATGGCATGTCTAGGGATTTGGATATAAAATGTCTCGTCAAAGAGCTCATTAATTTGAATATGTTATAATGTCTTATAACCAAGATAACGACGCTTTTAAACTACAATATAAGGATACTGCAAAAACATTTCTAAAAAAAAACCTAAAATAGGGTTCTCGTAAGTTAGTGAGAGAAAAAAAGGCTGAATAAAATTTAAATCCCACAAAATATCAAATCGCATTAATAATATCCTCCTATGTACACAGCATAGCTACACAATAACATGATATATATCAAGGAATGCATTAAAAAACCTAAGTTTCTAACCTTTTGCAGAACATGATCAGCAGCAGTGTTAACAATAGTTCTAAGTACATGGCCAGCAGTTGGGATCTCCCTTCCTGCTCAAAAATTGACTTTAATGAAATAAAACATGTGAATATAGGACAAAAATACAATAACTTTCCAGAAAAGGCGGGATATCATGCATAACAAAAAATTGTCATTTATGAAATTGCACTAGTTTGAAACTTATTATCAAGCATCCTTTCAATATCAGGAAGCCTATTAGTTAGGCTTTATATAGTACAAAACGTATGTTTCCCATAGTCTAAAGATGAATCTAGATGGCAGAAAGCAAGATTACAATGGTGTAATACATGTTCAATTAAAAAAATAGGAAATAACAATTTAATACAGTGACATCAATAAATCTCTCTGAAATTCAAAACACTACAAGTTAAGTAGATAAAAAGGTTGCTCAGCATTACTATGATTCCATAAACTATATATAAACTAAATGAGCCTCTTATGATCATATCATTGCTCATATAGTCATGAAGAAAAAGGAAAAAAGAAAAGAGAGGGAGGCATGAGGCGGAGGAAGCATGGCTGAAGAAGTGAAAGGAAATTTAACCATGTAAAAGGTATCATAATTGATATAAGAAGACTCAAGTGTCCAGTGTTCGTAGTACAACTGTATGATATAATGCATGAAATCATCCACACAAAATCAAATTCGCAGCTCAAGAGCATCAACATAAGCAAATATATCTCTTTTAATGAAATTAGAAGACATGGAAAATGCACGCAAACAAGAATTTAATGGCAGCTAAATAGAATATTAGCATACAATTCAAAATCAATGACAAATACAAGTCGACTAAAAATCACATCGCAAACAAAAATATCAGCTTGCATTAGTTTTGAACAAACCCACAAGTCACAAGCATCAAATAAAGTACCCAATTCCAGAAGATGCAGATGAACAAAACCACAAGCCACAAGCACAAGTTCCGACCACTGTATAACAGCAGGCAAACAGGTTCTGCACCTTATCAGGATCAGACGAAAATCCTGAACCACATTGACAAATATCTCTTTGTTGACCTCATTTTTGTGAGGTCTTGTCTTCTCCTCCTTGGAGCCTAGATTCTAGCTCTAGAAATTCCTACTGACCATCCTAGAAAACTAGAATTGAGACTCACCTTTTTAGAAATTCCAGCCACTTCTTATTTTTCTTTGATGTCTAACATTTATGGCACAAGACCATCGTCTTATGAATGAGCGGTTATGGGCTATTTTGTGAAGACTCAGAGGAAAAGTTCCCAATAGAACTTCAAGCCTTAGGAAGACATCGTCACGACCTTTTTCGTCACATACACATCAAATACACAAAGTTCACGACATTGCACGAAATCGGACTTCAATTAGGCCCAAAGGACAGGCGAAAATGCGAACTTCTCCGGATGACCTCCGACGACAAATTGGACTGCGCCAACGCGTCCGGGATACCAATTTTGGTAGGAAAGGACACCCATATTGCCATATTTTCGACACGAGAAAATTGGCACGCAAATCGATGAATTCGTCAAAACGACTTCCGACGGAGAAACAGACCGCGCCAACACGTCCGGCACCTCAGCATTACGCCAA